GAAAAGTTAGGGGTTGCCGGTGCCACTGTGGACAACCCCTAGGTCCGCCCCTGACATGAGACCCGATAGAACTGGATTAGATAGGACTGAACAGAACTCAACTGGACAAAACTAAAAAAGTTATCCGTGTAGCATTTGGTAAGACTAGTACAAGATGGAACAAAATGTTGATATTACCAAATTGTCCTTAACCATAATTATATAATTGCTTAAACCAATTTCATCATATTGAAATTTGAGGAATCTACAATTTGCACGTCTACCATCATTCAAATGACACAAGGTAGCTCAAATAAATATATGTTCTGTAATATTAATGGGGAATGGATATGAGGCGTAACAAAGGAGGCACATCAGACTAGCTTGAGGTTTGATGATATTGATGAAGAAATGTAAACCATAGGAGGTTGTGATGTTGAAGAATATGTGATAAGATCTTATGAAAGATGATACGCATCACAGTAATCGAAATATGTGAAGGGTATTTTTGTCGAGAAAAAAAAAGATTGATGCGTGTTCTACTTTGTTCCACCCTTTTGGGTGGGACTAAAATGTAGGCAATTAGTTCCATTTGGACTTGGTTAAAACCACTTTTTGTTCTTGTTCCAACCTTTCCTAACACCCTCTAAAAAGTTGTTATGTTCTGTTCCGCTCACCAAACGCTACCTAATAGAATATTGTTGACCTTTTTTCTATTTTCAATTTCAACTTTACTCATTTTTTATATTCTAGTAGTCTTATATACACAAATTTATGTGGTGTTCACTTTACACAAGGCAATCAAATATCAATAGATGGTAATTTTGCACCTTTAGCATCAATTTGCAAACTTTTCTTCCTAACTTATAACCAATCAATTCTTTGAAGTAGTTATGTAATAGTCATTTTCCTAATTTTGATTGTGGTTATCCAACTTTAGGTTGATTGTGATTATCAAAAATTCTTTGTGTTTGATGATTTGTAATTCTACTCGCAATGCCATGTAATAAATAAATAAATAAATAATTAACTTGGTAATTAGTTACTGTTCTCCAAATTAACTTTTCCTCTAATTGGTAAAAGCTTGTAAAAATGTTGTTATCACGGGTATCACAATAAGGTACATTGCCCATTTTGGCAAAAGAAGAAAAGTAGGTTGCTATTTCTAGCAATTTGCTTGTTTTCATACAACACATTTCAAATAAATCTATATACAACCAATATCCAAGCAAAAATACTAAAACAAAACTATATTTGGTATTTACTGCATCAAAGTACACCCTAATTGAATCAATACACTGTTCATCCACCGTTCATTCCAAATGTCCTGAAATTGTTTGGAATTTTGTCATATCCTTTAATGTCTCTAGAATCGAATGTCTTCCACAACCTCCATCCTGGTGCAGCATATTTAGCTGACTTGCCTCTCTCCCATTAAGCCCTAATGTGAACAAGGAAGTTGGGAAAATATTTGCAAAAGTTTAGGATATGTAGACTTACATCATCCTTATTATACTAATAACCAATTATACTAAAAATTATGAACTCAATATAGTAAGAAAAGGATAGCCACACAAAAAAACAGTTAATCATGCTATACAGAGTTTGACCATATTTTTATCAAAATAGAAAAAGTTTTACTATCCAAATATGATGTCCAAATAAAAGGCCAAATTCTCTGTATTAAAGTCCAAAAATCGTACACAATTCCGTAATGTTTTCTAGTAATTCTTTCAACAATGCACAAGTTTACTGGAAGCCATTATTAACAAAAACTACCTGACAACCAAAAAAAACACAAAGATGTGGTGCAATGAAGATTACATAATACAGTCACAACCAATAACTATATACATATCATCTTAATGGTAAATTTTCTACAAAACCCGAAAACTATTCAAATACTGCACTTATAGTTTTTTCTTATTTTTGTACTAGTTTTGATAGTTAGTTCAATATTAAAATAGTATTATCAACAAACCAAAACAAACAAGTCTCAAAATTAATGTTACTAATACTTTGGGATAGTTATTGAAAAATAAAAAATATACGGAAATTGAAAATCTTACTTAATAAGTAATATTGCATTTATCAATAAAAAAAAACTAAAAGAATTTGTGATGTTTATCATAAGAGATGGGACGTAATACCTATAAAATCCAAAGAGGGAAACAAGTTGTATAACCCTCTTTCACATTTGTTAAGAAACAATGATTATAATAATGTAATCAAAATGAATTAACCAGTTTTATGTAAGAGACATGGATGATGGTAAATTAGACGACATACCTATTGTAGCTGATCACATCTATTGTCACATTTGATGGGTCGTAAATTGTCTTAAGATCTCCAAGCTTTGGGCAATGCCGAATACTAAGTGTTTTAAGGCAGGGGAGGTGTGGTAAGACCTCTGAAAATGATTCCACTTCCGTAAAACCAACGAGCGATAGAGAAACAAGAGATGGTGGAAGAAGAAAAGATGATGATGATGATGGATTAGTAATAGTATTATTCTTCACATCCTCTGCCACTGCAAATGAAACCACTCCTGAATTTTCACCAAATAACCACAGATCAACTAGTGAGGTAGGAAAATTCTGCAGGCCCCACTCTGACATGGGCTTATTTAAGCATCCTATTGTGAGTTTAGTCAAATTAGGAGGCCACACCCCACAAGGAAAGGAGTAGTCCATACTTGGACATTGACTTATCTCCAGTTCTTCCAAAGATGTGAGACTTTGAAAATGCTCATGAGGAAATGACTTTAGATTCTTGCAAAATCTGATTTCAAGAGATGTTAGGCAAGACATGGGGAGAAAACCACAACCTGTGACTGGAATGGGATTGGGTTGTAATTGTACGTTATCACAATCACTAACTATCGATTCAGTAAGAGGGGATGGGTGCTCCTGCATTGCTGAGAAGGTCAAGGATGTCATTGAATCACAACTACCTATATGCAACCTCTCAACAGTATGTGTACAGTTGTAACTCTCCAATGTCTCACATCTATAAAATATCACAGATTTAAGAGATTCCATGCTCATCCCAAAATTGTCCTCTTTCTCAGCTGATGAAACCAAGTTTTTACAATGAATTACTACCAACTTCTGTAAACTCACAAGACTCTTGCATGCCTCTGATTCTCGTTCCCACAAGTATCTCAGTTCATCACAACTATGAATATATAGATGTTCAACTGCCCCAAGATGCACTAAATCTTTTCCATGTAGTTGAGTAAGTCCTTTAACATTCACCATTTTCAAACTAACAAGTGACGGGGACAAACCAACCATGCTTCTTAACACTGCTTCAGAACATTCTTCTATATGTAAAACCTGAAGTGAAGGTATCAGTCCGATGGACACTTCAGCTAGTTCAGGACAACATTTAATAGAGATCTCATGAAGACAAGGAAATGATGTAGGAGCTCCATGATCATCACTACTATCAATCGACCATCTCTGCCAACCTTCCATATCCTTAAATGTCAGAACTTCAAGTGATGGAAATGCAATGCCAAGAAAAGAATTTATAGGTGCAAGGAACTCAAAACCCACGGTCTTCACCTCACTCATCCTTTCAACAACCAATTTTTTAAGAGACCTTAAACATCCAATTGTTGGTAGATGTGTACTTCTACAAACATATAACGTAATCTCTGTTAAACGATCAAACGAGGGATCCCTGACCCAACTGGGAAATCTCATTCCCATGTTATTCAAAATCTTGAGGTTTTTTAACTTAGGAGGAGGTCTAAGTTCTTTAAGCACTTCATATTCAATCGTCTCATTCCGAGAATCATCAAACACATTATAACTCCATTTCATCTCCAGAACTTCAAGACCCTTCTTTTGATGTAAGTTGGCATCCTTTGCTTCTATTGGATTTATCACTTTGTCTAGACCCATAATGGAAATCCGGCCTTGAAGATCCGATAGGCCCTTAAGGTCAGATACTTTGAACCCGTTACCTTCTTCAATAAAGACCTTGGGTAGACTTTGAAGGCTCGTCAACTGACTGATCCCTAAGGGCATCTTCTTCAAATTCGGAGTATTACTTACGTCAAGATGTCGCAGGTTTATTAACTTTGCAACACTTTCTGGCAAGCTAGATAACTGATAACAGTAATGAAGCAACAAGGTCTGTAGATTATAAAGGTCACTCACTTGTTCCGGCACACATGTGATTAGAGTATAAGAAAAATTAAGGTACCGTAGATGCTTGAGACTACCAATGGATTCTGGTAACTTCGTGATTATCTTACTACCTCGGGACATGTGATTCAAGCCCATGACACTTAGCACCCTCAGGAATTGTAGTTCAAGAAGAACCTTGTCCAAAAAGCTGTCGCTCTCCAAACCATCTGACATGACTAAGAAAGTTCGCAAGTGTTTAGCTCTTTGTAATTCATTAAGCTTTCTGTATGATCCAGATCTTGGACCTACAAGTGAAAAGTGACGAAACTTATCAAAAGCTTCATTCATATCAGATGCATCCACCTCACCATCCAATCTAAAGGAAAACTCTCCTGCAACACTTGTGGCCAAGTCATTTATCAGGTCATGCATCGTATATCCTAACTCGTTCGTTGATTGTTGAAAAAAGGACCTTGATTTTAGCTCATCAAAATACTCATGACCCAAATATTCCATTGACTTGTTTCCTTTTGATTGGGAGAAAAATCCTTCTGCCACCCACAATAGGACTAATTTATTTTTGTCAAACACATAGTCCTTGGGAATTAAGGAGCAATATGCAAACAACTGCTTCAGATGTGGAGGGAGATGATAGTAGCTTAGTTTTAGAGCCGGAAGAATCTTATTTCCATCATCAATATCCCATATCTCACTCTTCAACAACTCCTCCCATTTATCGTCATTTAGATTTCCCTTCAAGACCCTCCCAAGTGCTGTCAAAGCCAAAGGCAATCTACCACATTTCTGAACCATACCTTCACCAAACAACTTAAGTGTTGGATGTTTGTCAAAGTTTTTTTCTCCTAGCGCATGTTGAGCAAATCATGACAGTGCATCTTCATTTGACAAAACGCCTAGAGGGTAAGTTTCTTGCGAGTCCATCACTGATGCAACCCTGATACTCCTGGTTGTGACAATAACTCTACTTCCAGGTGCCCCTACAAGAAGAGGGCTCTGGAGGAGTTCCCACTTACTGTAGTCTTCATTCCAGACATCGTCTAAAACAAGTAAGAACCTCTTCTTTGAAAGTTTTTCTTTGAGGGCAACATGAAGCAGATCAAGATTAGCAAAATCTTCATTTTTCCCAGTTACTGCTTGGAAAATAGCCTTACTAATGTTAGATACATCCAACTCTTCAGCAACGCAAACCCATGCTCTGAGTTGAAAGTGATCCTTCACTTTCTCATCATTGTATAAAAGTTTGGCAAGAGTGGTTTTGCCTATTCCACCCATACCAACTATTGACACTATGCTCACACTTTCATCACATTCTTCTTCCCCCAACAACTTCCCCATCAATGCCTCTTTATCCCCTTCCCGGCCCATGATTTTGGACTCATCAACCAGTGAATTTTGCTCCAACCGTTTCTATGTAATATATTTGACCTTTCAACATTCACCTTCAAACCCAAATCATTTTTCTGGTCAACAAGGTCATGCAATTTGGTGGTGACCTCATCTAGTTTAGAACTAATGTTCCAACCATACATAATGTTGTGAGGAGTGAAATTAGTACAACAATTTGGGACAAATTTCAATACCTTACTAGTGCTGCTGTTGGCACTAGTTTCTTGATTCAACTTGCGTCGCAGAGCTTCGGTGGCCAAATCATCGAGTACATCTTCTATATCGTAAGCCAAATCCTGGAGATGGTTCACCCACAGTTGGACAGCTCTCTCTTTTATATGCTTCTGGCTTGAATCAGTAAGCACGGCTTGGATCAGGGGCAGGTTTTTCCTCCATTTTTTCAGTTGAGAATCGATCCCTTCCGATCGAGCCAGCTTCATCAGGTCACCAGAGAGAAGCTTCTCACACAGCACAGTGATGAGGGCAGTAACAGCGATTTCAGCCATTGGAATTCGGAAAAGGGAAAGATAGTTTTTTTTTTTTGAAGGTTTTGATTTCAAAGGATGAAAATTTGCAAAAGCAAAAGGGTTGACGGAATATAATGCAAATAAGTGTTGAACCTCATTCATAAGCAAAAGAGTTGACTTATATATTTTATAATAATAATAATTAAGTTACAGATATGATTGGGTGGCTCTTGGTTTAGATCCAAAAAGATATTTATTTGCAATATCGATCCTTTATGAACAGGTCAACCTGAACAGCACGACTGTAAAATATATGAAAAATGACCATTCTGCCTTTATGTTCTTCATCAACTTCATCTCTTTCATTTCAATGTTCAAGTAGCATAATAAAACCCTTGAAATGTTCATATCTTTCCTCAATAAATCCTAATCAAATTCAACCAAAACCTATAAATTAAACCTAAAACTAATAAAAACTCAAACTCTAAATAAATCAAAGCTTTACTATCAGAAGAAAACCAAATGATATAATCATGTTCAACTGAATTTTTTATATTTGTTTTTGAAGCTCTAATATGCTTGGCAGCTTCCTGTTCTTTCACAATTGACGATTGATAAATAATAACACACAGGGTAAACAAATTATCAGGATTTTCTTTTTCCTGCTGTGGCCTTGTGGTGGTATAGTAAATAAAGAAGGTTTAGAATGAGAAACAGAGATTGGAAAGTCAAATTAACATTAATAAATCATGGAGTCCCAAGAAGATTGGCAGCATAAAGAATCAATGGAGGTGGTGATACCGCGATACGATTCCGCCAGAATGATTTTCACTATAGTGTTCTTCAAAAAATAGAAATAAGTATGCTGAGAACGGGAAGTGTAAGGGTGCGTTTAGTTGCGGAAAAATTGGCCGTTTTCCGGAAAAGTTTTCCAAGAAAAATGAGAATTTTGAAAACGCGTTTAGTTCGTCTATTTTTCTAAATTTTTCACAGAAAATGAAAATTTTCCGTTTTCTAAAATTACAAAGAAGTTGAAAATTTTTGGAAAAATGATAATCATTGTTTTCCACATTTTTCTAATTCCAAAATTTTTCTAAAATATAAACACATCCACTCCCACCCCATCCACCTCTACCTACCCTCACCTTAACACCCTCCCCCCCCACACACACACCCGCACACCCCCCCCACACACACACATACATACCCACACACACACATACACATACTTACCCCCCCACACACACACATACACATACATACCCACCCACAAACACAAACACACATACATACCCACACACACACCCACCCACAAACACACACACACACATACACATACATATCCACCCACACACACACCCACCCATAAACACACACACACATACATACCCACCAATGCACCCACACACACACTCACACACATACCCACCCACACCCCCACAAACACACACCCACACACACACAAACTCACACCTACCACCACCCCCACCCTCACAGACACACAAACCCACACACACACACACACAAACCCACACCTACCCCCACCCCCACCCTCACAAACACACACACCCACACAAACACACACTCACAACCACTGTCGTCGACCCACTACCGTCACCGCCCCGACCCACACCCTACCACCACTACCGTTTTCAAAAAATAAAAACCGATAGAAAAATACACATCTAAACACGTTTTCTAATTTTCTAAAACTGAAAATGAAAAATGAATAAGTTTAACTAAACGCGTTTTCTAAATTTTTCAATGAAAAATGAAAATGGAAAACGAAAATTGAAAAGGGAAAACAAAAAACGGAAAATGAGAATTGTTTTTCCGTAACTAAACGCAACCTAAGCGTCTTCAATATCTCTCAATTTTACACTGATTTCCCTCCCCGCGATACAAATTTCTCCTGAACTCAGCCCTAAGAATTGCTCTCGATCCTCATCCCATCTGTAATTGTCCCGTGTTTCTTTCAGAGAAATTCCCCCTATCTTTCCGGCCTTTCCGCCAGTGGAAGCAAAGTTAAGGGCTGGCGAAATCGCATCAACGTTGGTGACGGTAGCTCAGCCACAAAAGAACCATGTGCGTTGTAATCTGGGGTTCATTCAAAATGGAGTGCAGCAACAGTACCAACGATCTGAACTCGGTGACGTAAAGCCAAACTTTTATGTTGTAAGGTGTGCCGTTTGTTTTTTTTACAGCTTCAATAAAAAGGATAATATTTCATTAATTAAAAATAAAAATATCATACATTTCATAACTTAAAAAAAACCTAAAAATTTAGAAAAACAAATTAGAAACATAAAACCTACAACTTAAAAAAAACACCTCAAATGATTAAAAACTTGAAGAAAAAAAAACTATAAATTAGCCACGATTGGCCAAATGTTTTTTTCACTTCCTCCTTCATCACCAAAATAACTTGAAGCTCGTCCCCGGTTATACTCGACGTGTCCACCGCTACTATTCGCATGTCGATGTCCCTTTGTTTCCGAAGCTCTCTTTCAGAAGCAAGTTGCAAAATCTTGTTCATTCTATTTTTTATATCCTTCATATCGGCCTCTATTTCTTTCGACTATCTGAATCTCACGCGTTGTCTTTGCTTTTGTTTTTTGCTTTGTCTCTTTCCATTGGTCGGGAAGGTAGTGAAACTGGAACAGGTTCATCTTCATTCAAATCGAATTGACACACAAGCATCTGATGTAGTGTGGTCAGATTCAGATGTTCTGCTGTGTTTTTGAACCAGTTTCGATATGCTCCTCTGATGTTTTGTTGTTTCGCCATTTATTGTTATCTTTCATAAAATTTCAAATTTCAAGAAACTTGAAAGACTTCACGTTTTCTTTTTGATACACTTTCGGCGCTTTCTGCAAAATCACATTATCATTTTCTCCACTTTTCCATTGACGTTTCATGTTGTATATAAATCATTAAACAACATGACTTCCTTGTTCATCTTCCCCCATTTCGTAAACATTTGATGTTTTGAACTATAGTCTCCATGATTTATTCCTTTGTGGAACCTATGTAAAACCCGAATCCAAAAACAGTCGTGCTTTTGATCTTTTCCAATCGTCTCATATTCCGAAATATCAATTCATTATTGTGCCAACACTAACACTTCTAGGGGTTCCCAACATTTAACATGCACCTTCTCTTTTCTTTTAGTTGCTGCTTGAATGGGCTAAGTTTCTTCAATGAATTCCGGTTCAGAATTAGAAACGACCATTCGTGGTTGTGGTTGTGCTTGTGTTTGTTGAACAAACTCAAGTTGAGACAAAATCAAATGGATTAAAATTTGAGTTGGGTTGTGATAGTGGTTGTGTTTATGGTAGTGGCTATATTGGTCGTTGTGGAAAATACGACAACATACCGCCATAGTGGTAATGCGGAGATGAAAAAATGGTTGACCAGATGAATGTATTGGGGTTGTGGTGTTTCTAGTGGGTGTTGTTTCGTTGGCAGGCCTTTTGGAAGAAGAAATTTTAAAAAAAATTTTTTAAGAAAATATGGTAAAATGATAGGGAATTTAAGTGAGGATTTTGTAAAAAAAAAATATAAATATATATATACGGTAAATTAAAAAAAATTAATTTCTCAACAAAAGGACCGTTGAACGCTCAAAAAGCACACACCCAATCAAATCATGCAACTGTGTCTCGCCACTATGTGGCCTAGATGTAGCACCTGGTTCCTGCTATGTATTCTTGATTATTAACTCTCCTTATGTATTATTGCATTTTAACCTTGGACTCGGCGAGTTGAAGGACTAACTCGCCGAGTAGAAGCAGGTCTAGACTCGGGTTCAACTCTGGTTACTCAGCGAGTAGGGTCGTGGGACTCGGCGAGTAGGCCCTGTATGGACTAAAACCCTAACCCGGGTTTTGCACCCTATTTAAGCAATCTAACCCAGCCTCCACAACCCCTAGCACTCCCAGAGATCTGTAGAACGAAACACTAGCCACCTTTGTGTCCTTGTGGGTGATTTTTAGCATTTTGAAGGTGGTTTGGAGCTTGGGAGAAGAAGGAGAAGGGTGAAGAGTGCAAGAAGGGAAGAAGATCCAGAATATACTCTGTGAAGGGCTTCTATTCAGGTAGAAAAGTTCCTACCTTGATCTTTAGTTCATTGAACCCCCTTTCTTGTCCCTAAAAAGAGGTTTTAAGCCCTAAGAACCTAAATCTCTATGTGTTTATGGTTAATGTTCTGCAAGGACTTCGGATTTGGACCTTTAGGACATCCTAATAACATAAAGTCTCTGTGGTTGAGGTGATTGAGGTCCCTATTGAGTGTAGGACCTCTTAAAGAGCTTCGAATTGCATGTTTAAGCTCATTGGGCCATGCATGCACATAAAGTTTGCAACTTTACGTGGTAAACATGCCCTAGGATCATAGATCTGTGGTTTTGAAGCATTGCATGTCTCAGATCTGGCCTATTTGGGAAATGGGTCGAGGAACTCGGCGAGTCCCAAAGTGGTACTCGGCGAGTTCTATGAAGATGGTCTTAGACTCGGCAAGTTGGATGAACAACTCGGCGAGTCCTATGAAAATTTTCTGGAGCTAGCCGAGTTGTTCTTCAAACTCGGCGAGTCGGTACTCAAGTCGGCCCCATAGTCCCGAGTGATGAGTCAAGGGTGACTCAGTGAGTGGGGAGAGGGAATTGGCGAGTGGGACCGGATTAGTAAGGGAAGGACTCGGCGAGTTGCTCGTGGACTCGGCGAGTCCAATCAACTGGAAGTTGACTTTGACTTGGATTTCAACCTGGTTGAGGGTAAAAGGGTCATTTTACCCTAAGAACATCTAGCAGTGTTTGACTGATCGTTTTGTGGGATTTATAGCCGAAGGACGTCCGGAGAAGCAGCAACAGTAGACAGTCAGTTTTCGATCAGTTCAGCAGCAACTTTGAGGCAAGTTACCTTCCAGTAGCGGTGGGTCTAAGGCCACAATGCCGGCCCACCAATATGAGATGTATGATTAGATGATTGTCTTTGTGATATTCATCTAGGGTTGCTACTACATGTGTTATGTTTATGTGTTA